ATTTTACAGGAATGTTACTTATGCCAAAAAACACAGAGCTACAACACGACCTTAATACAGTAGTGGCATCAGTCTTTGTAGACATGAAGTAAAACAATTTGTGGTTGATACAACAGCAAAAGTCACAAAAGGTAGATGTAAACAAAAGAGATTTTAGGATTTCTGGGAAGGCTGGAATGTAAATTTGAATAGGTAACTGCTTACTTTGGCTGTTTTCTTTAGCTTCCTAGGGAAGTGAGGAGTGACTAATACTCTGTGGAAGTAAAATCAGTCCTGTAAATTATAGATGCACTTAATAATGAATACATTAAAGCTTATCTGATAATCTATGTTTCTTTTTTTCTGGTAATCTAGGAGTCTTTTCAGTCCTGTGTTGTACTGAAGGAATCCCATCCTTTTCATAAGAACATGCTAAGTATTTAGGTTACAGGAATGGTTAAGAGATGTGAACAACAATTAACATCAGCAGAAGATCATTTTCTTTATAGTCTCCTGCCATCTTTCCTTACACTCTTTGGTGTAAGTTTGATTCCAAGATGTGTAAGAGAACAACTATCCCCATTTTAAGCAGATATAGGAAAGAAGGATCAGCAACCAAAGCCAAAGCACTCAGAGCCCCTCAAACGAGAGGATGGAAGTGCTGTGGGCAGCAGATGCAGTGTGAGTTCACTGGACTTCTGACACTCTCTTGCCTGCCGTGCACACGAGCAAACCAGATTGTCTGGGTGGAACGACTGCTAAAGGTCACGACAATATTCTCAAGGAAGGTACTAAGATTTCTTTACCTAACTGGAAGGGTTTAAGAGAGGGTTCCACAGAGGTCTGTGTTCTGTCTAACATCATTCAGTGTTTCCACTGATGATTCAATGAAGAAATGAATAACCTGACCACATTGTAAAATGACTCAAAGTGACTCAATGGTAAAAGAAGCTGCTCTTTTAGGGACAGCCCTAGAACTTAAAATAATTTTGAGAATTGCTACAGTGCTTTGAAAAACAGGATGCACTTTGATATGGGTAAGCAGAGTGTGTTATACAATAATCAAATGGAAAAATAAAATGGGAAAGGATTGACTTCCAGCAGTCATGCAAGGAAAAGACCTGAGAGTGAAACTAAATGTGACACTACAATGTCAGTTTCTTGGAAATTTTAAAAAAAAAATCACACTATTTACAAATGTGTTATAGGTAAGACATGGAGCATCTGTGCTACACATTCCCTGGTTAGATGCCAGCTGGGATACTGCATTCAGTTTTAGGGATTAAACTCAAGAATGAACTAAAAGAGTCTTAAAAAAAGGAACAGCAATGATCTACACGTTCAGAAAACATGACCTGTAAAGAAGAACTTGAAAACTTCCTAGTTTCTTCATCCACAAGGGGAAAAAAACCAAACAAAAAACTGCACAAAAAACCCCACAAAAACAACAACACCCCAAATAAAAAACAAAATCAAACAAAAAACAACCCCCCAAAACCCAAACAAACAAACTCCCCCAAAAAACCACAACACCAGAAAACAAAGACTGAAGGAAAGTATCTCAACAGTCTCCAAACAGGATGTGTTTTTGCAAGAAGAAAAGTGACTAAAAATCTTCTGGGCCCACTGGTTATGGGATAAGAAGTTATCTACTTAGCCTTTAGTAAAGAATTCTCAGACTGGACTTTGGAAGAACTTTCTGAGTGTAACAGAAGTGAAGCACAAGCACATTTAGCTGAAAAAAACCTCTAGAATCTTCCATCACAGGAGGTTTTTAGCAACAGATTAAAAACCCCATTTATTCATTATTATTTCCATATAGTTGACTCCGTTGATGGGGGAAAATGAATTTTTAATGTCCCTTCCAGACTTGCTTGTTTTTTTTTTTAGTTTCTATTTTTGTCCAATCTTTAGAAAAATATATAGTCTTAGTATGGTAATTCAATGAGAACTCTTTATATTTATGTTATGTACAAAACCCAGTTTACTAACCATCTATACAAATGTAAATTTTCTTTCACCCCTTCCTTCAGCCTTAATTCTGAAATAGAAATATTATTGAGTATTAATAAAGATTACATATCAATCTTTGGTGACTGGATAGGAATAGAAAGAACAAACTAAAAAGAAATCCTGCTGCAACTCACGAGTGTGTCTGGAGTAGACTTACCCAGGCATTGCAACAAAAATGTTACCTGTGTTTTATTTAGAAATAGGCATTTCCAGGTAAATTCAAGGCTTTCTTTTCTCTTTCCTATTGGCTTAACATGGATATGCTGGGATGCCACCTGCACAGCTCAGCAGTAAAACTGAATGCCCTTCTTGGCACTTCAGGAAAAAAAAAAAGAAAAAAAAAGAGAAAAAAGAAAAAGGCTACTTACCTTATAAAACCTAATGGATTGAAGAGCAACAGGAGGAATTCCCATCTAAATGCAAATCAAGGCAAAGCCATTTTGAATGCAAAACTAAACTACAAATGGTAATTTTCCCACCATTTGCTACTGCTCCATACTACAATTACAATTCTACACAACTATATAGTAGTTAACAACTCTTCTCCTGATGAGCTGTCAAAGAGCAATTTACAATTTTCCCCAAATGTATGTCATAAATATGTTTATTCTCTTGCAATCTGTGCAAAATTAATTTAGAACATTTCCTGCTTTTTTTTTTTTTTTTTTTTTTTTAATTTAGCCTGGTTTGTGAAGTGGAAAAGGACAAGTTATCAGGAGAAAAAAAAAAAGGTTTCATCTGCTGGTTACACTGTAAATTAAACTCCTACTTGTTTCTTGCTAGAGTGCAGTAACTGATACTGGTGGGCTTATGCCAGCTGAAAACACTTGAGTCAGTGAGGCTGAGGTCAGGATCCCAGCTTGGGTTCCTTCTGTATTTGATGTTTGAATATGAATTTTGTATTATCTGTGTGCTGCAAAGGTGACAGGGTGGCAGCCCCTGAGTCTGTCAGGTGTTTGAGGACACAGTTCTGGTCTGACAGAGTCCTCACCTAGAAAACCTCAGGGTGATCAGAGCAGCTGAGCAGGAACTCTAATTTCTACCATTTATTCTAAGGACACTCTCCTCCAAGCACCAAACAAATGGTTAAGGAAGGGTATACCTCATACAACATACTGGATTTGAGTTTTTATTTCCCATATCCAGAAGGAATGCAATAAAAATTGCTTTAGTCTTAAGGCTTTTGAAATATCAAATGCTATAACCACGTCAGTGCGTAACGTGTAAATGAAGGTGGTGGCAGCTCAGATTTTACAATTTGTTTAGAACAGAGTAAAAAAGCAATCAATGTTCCCCACTGGATCCTTTCTGGATTCAGCTGGGTGTTCTGTCCCTAATCTGAGAGGCCCTCAGTGAATTAGGGACACAACTGTCCCATAGCAGGTATCAAAGTGAGGGAGTATCTATTCTAAATGTATTTCTAGTATGTACAGTGAGGCTGAAGACACTCTAATGATTTCACTTCAAAACCCCTCAGACAGTTTGCCACTGGATAAGAACTCTACCCTGAAAGGATTTTTTTACTTCATCCCAATGTCATCAGAGTATGACTCAAGCAGTGGTCCTAAGCTGGAGTCTTTTGGCATGAAATACAGAACAACTGGGTATTGCTTTTACATTTCATAACTAGTAACCAGCCTCCTGCTACAGGTATCCTCCCACATAACAGCTATGATATTCATTACTTTACAGAGTTAATTATTAGTGATAAGCAATTGGGGGTCTTTAGTAGGTCAAATAGATTACATAAATGTAACAATAATAAATTTTAACCAAATCCTAAATAAATTTTTAAAAATTAAAAAAAAACCCAACAAAAAAGGAGAAATGGAGTGCATGTTGCACTAGAAAATATGATGAAATAGACAATCTTCTTTTCTACTAAATCCTCACTGCTACACTGAGTATGGGAATTTGCTTACCCTGGAGATACATGAAATGAACATGCAGAGAGATTTCACATTTTTAATGGTGAGCCCTTCCTAAATATTTCTGTATGGAAATGAACTTGAAGTTTAATCCCAGTGAGTTTTGTTCCTGACTTAACTGAGAAACAGACTAGATTTACAGAACTTCCTTTGATCTAACACCAGAAACAAAGAACCTGTTTTACACATAAACACTGTCCTCCAGCACCTCAGTTTAAGGTAAAGAAAAATGGTCCCAGAGACAGAAGAGTTAAGCACTTCTGAAAAAATAAACTTCAAAGAAAGTAAAATATGAAGGAATAGACTAGATCCCAAGCTAAACTCCTAGAGAGAAATCAAGGCAGGAGTAGAAAGGAGGCAGGATTTGTTTACATAACCTCTAATCTGTAGCTATGTCTGATCCTGTATCACTCTGCTACTCAGATAAAGTGGAGTTTAGAGTCAAGAATATCAGAGGCATTCTCCAGACAAGCCCTTGTGGCCAACATTCCTTCCTCAGATTACTCATGTTGAGTATAGGTGGAGTCCAAATCAAAATTATCAGTGTGACACATTATTAATCAACAGTTCAACAATTTAAATTCTGTCCTTTTGAGCACAACTTTCAAAGAAGTTAAATACTTGTGAGGAACTAACCTGAGTTTGTTATGAATACAGATGTTACAAGTGTTTTACCTGACTGCAAACACAGGGATGCCACTTAGTTTTAATCTCTACCAGAGTTCTTAAGTGTTCTTGTCTTAAATATTTGTTATTGTATGTGATCAAAAAGATGTACTTCAGCTGTTTTTACACACATGTTTGAGTGCTCCTTAGGTTTTCTTTGAAATAGGACCAACCTCTCATCACACTCAGGAGCTCAGTTAAGAGCAAGGGGGGAATTATTGCTGGTGAGAGCTGCAGCAATCAGGTACTGAGCATGATTACAGTAGATATTTTGTTGTGAAAAATGTACATTAAAAAAAAAAAAAGCAAACAGAACAGATTAAGATATTACTAATGGTAAAACACAGGTAAACATTCACTAATTGAAAGTGAATGGGAAAGAAGAAAGTGAGCTCACATCAATATGTGTCTTCATTTGCTGGCATTGAATACAGGATTATTCATGTTAGTTAAAGTTATGCACTTACTTAAGTACTTTAGCTGGATTGAGGCCAGAGTACTGATGAGTAATCTGCAGAACCGAGGCCACTGAGAATAACAAATGAAAAAAAAAATACTCAGAGCCAAATCTGATTTAAATAAACACATTTACTATCTACCATTTTGATTTCTTCATCTTAGTGTTATATTTCAAAGCTCAGTAGTCTATCTTCAAAATGTAACTTTAGAATCACAGAATGATTTGGGTCAGAAGGGAGCTTAAAGATCATTTTGTTCCAACCCCCTGCTCTTGTCAGGGACATCTTCCACTAGACCAGGTTGGCTCAGAGTCCCATCCAACTTGGCCTTGAACACTTTCAGAAATGGGAAGTCCATGGTTTCAAGCCCAGTGCCTCACCACCCTTACAATAAAAAAATTCTTCCTAAAATCTCTTCTAAACATTCCCTCCTTCAGCTCAAGACCATTTCCCCCTCTCCAATCACTACATGACACTGTGTAGAGTCTCTCTCCAATTTTCTTGTAGCCCCTTAAGGCATCTAAAGCTGCTCTAATGTCTCCCTGCAGCTTTCTCCTCTCCATTCTGAGCAGCCCCAAGATCTCCCAGCCTGGCATTTTCATGACCATCAGCAGTTCTGAAAGGCTGAAATCAGATGTGTCAAACCTGGATATCAGATGTAGGGCAGAGTTACAAAGGTGGTTTTCTGAGAAATACAGACAACCTTCAGCTCAGAGCTGAGTCACTCACAGCCTCAATAAAACTTCAAGAAATTTGCATAGACCTGGACTGAACAAGTCACCCCCTCTGTGGCATGAGCTGCTGTGCCACAAGGTGCAGGTAACTGCAGCTAAAGAGAAAATGAGCAGCTGCTACAGGTGGGCACTTTCTGCAGTGCTCATCACTCTGAAGATCCAGGAGGGCTCCAGAAGGAGCTTTTGGAAGCTGTCTCAAAGAGGCAGGCAAAGATAACAAGATATTTTTTAGTGCAGTTCTAGCAGGACTTTGAACACTGAGGAAGACTTCCTTGTAGCTCTTGGTGCTTGTGTGTTTGCATTAGATTTTAAGCCCACCCCACTGCTGACCAACTGGAGGCATGAGTGCTATCAGGGGCCCCACTAAGGCTTCTGAGGCCTGTTATCTCACAGTAGCTGCTATTATGCACAAACAAACCAATATATTAATAAACTTCCTTCAACACAGAGACTACGGTTGATCTGTAATCTCCAAGTAAATTAATTTTTGACTAAAAGCTGTTTTTCAGATGGCACTGAATGTGCATAGCTTGAGGAAGCTAACCCTCTTCCTGAATTCATTCCAAATTTGCTGCTGATCACTCCAGGCCTTGTTTTTGTGTGTTGCTTCTTTTTTCTATTGTTATGCACAAAAGAAATCTGCAATGACAGCAACACGCAATGTATTTCTTCCTTCTGCCCTGTATGCTTTCCCCTTCCACAGCCTCTTAACTACATCCTTCCCTCATTCCAGGTACACTGCCACTGAAACCAGATCGTACTCAGTTCTGATTCTGTGGTTTGACATCCTCTGGAAGGACTGAAACAAGGGCTGTGCTGAGCAAGAAGCGTATCAAGCACATGAGCTCAATGTTTCATGACTACAAACAAGATCATAAAGGGACATGCAATAGTGGTAAGGCTTTTCCCTTTATTCCAGGAAGTAGAATTTAAAAAAATTGAAATTAGTTCCACACTAAGGACCAGGGATACACCTCCAGCAAGCCAGCCACCACACTCATGTTCCTGCAGAGCTGGTAGAGATGCAGATACAAAGGCTCAGTCATGGGTAGTGGGTGCTTTCAGTGTGGATATGGCAAATGCTGGCTTCACACTATGTAACCTTAGATGCAGACTGAGTCTGTAGTTAAATGTCTGCAAAGAACTGAAATTACTTCTTGACATGCCTCCCTGGGGCTCAGAAGTGCAGCCAACTTCACTGTGATCTTTTGTGTAAATCTTGATGTGCTCTGAAAAGATGAGGGCTTCCTGGCCACAGTTACAGCCTGCAGTGTAAAAGCCAGTATAAAAGTTGCTACAAACTTTAAACACAAGATTCTATCTCTAGTTAGCTTATCTTAAGCTACTTGCAGCTCCTGTTCAAAAAGTTATCTGAGTTATGTAGAATTTTTCATATATGTTTTACTATAACATTTCTGACTTAGAGAAGTGTAGCCCCATTTTTTTAATAAATGGGAAACTGAGGCACTGAGAAACCAAGATTCTCTGAGTTAGGGCTGCACAAGTGATCTCTGATGGGACAGATGGTTGCAGTCAGGTCTCTCTGATCAGCTGCTGGTGCTCCTCTTCAAACTCTTGCTTTTCTTAATGACTCTGCAACTGAAACATTCTTTGAATTCCAAGATTTTTTTCCCTGAAATAGCAACAGTCAAATCCCCGAGGGCATGAGAAAAAGAAAGTTGAAGAATGCATCCATATCTTATCCATATCTACATAACCTCTGTACCCATAAAATCTTTGATGATGGAAGAAACTGCTTAGTGACCAGTTCATATTGTACCATAGCCATGCCCTGATGGCATACTCCAGGAAAGAAAGTTGTGCACTTTCTGTGGCAACTATTTTGTATCAAGAATTGTGTAGCCAGCAGTGCCAGGGAAATTATTGTCTCTCTGCAGTCAGCACAGGTGAGGTCACACCTCACGTGCTGTGTCCAGTTCTGAGCCCGTCACAACAAGAAAGATATTGAGGGGCTGGAGCGTGTCCAGAGAAGGGCAACAGAGCTGGAGAAAGGTCTAGAGAGTGAATTCTATTAGCAGCAGCTGAGGGAGCTGGGGGTGTTTAGCCTGGAGACAAGGAGGCTCCAGGGGAGACCTTATCACTCCCTACAGCTCCCGACAGGAGGGTGCAGCCAGCTGGGGCTTGTGCTCTGCTCCCAGGCAACAGTGACAGGACAAGAGGCCATAGCCTCAAGGTGCATGAGGTTTAGACATCAGGAGGAATTTCTTTACGGGAAGGGTTGATAAACATTGGAATTGAGGCCCAAGGAGGTGGCAGAGTCACCATCCCTGGAGATATTCAAGAAATGACTGGATGTGGCACTCTGTGATCAGTGAAAGGTTAGACTTGACCTTAGAATTCTTTTCCAGCCTCAATGATTCTGTAATTCTGTATTCCTCACAGTGCTTCCTAAGAGATCAGTTTTGGCAGTGTCCTGTTCCTGTGTGCAGGATGTCTGTTGGGATTTACTTTTGTGCAGTTGTTTCTGGCAGGCTCAAGGGAAAGGGGTAGGAAAGGGGTCAGGTGTCTTCTCCCATGAGCCATGTCTCCATCAGTAGCTGTTCCCATTTACACAAGGAGCTCGATCCTAAATCCGTAAATGTTTCCAAGTAAATACAATCCTGACACCCAAGAAATGCCAGACACACAACAGCAGGCAGACAGCAATCTTCCAGCTGCTGCCCTCCCTGCCACTCACTCAGCAACAATTTTCCATTGTCACCAAGAATTCCTCTCCTCTCCCCTCTCCTCCTCCATAGTTTTTATTAATCTTTAACATTTTTCTCAACTCTTTTTTTTATCCTCTGCCCTTCATCTTCCTTTCTCATATTCAGTACTTGCTGTTGTCATTTTCAGATTTTTATAGCCCATAAAAATTGCACAAAGACCCTGATCCAGCAAAGTGACTTGACACACACATACCTTTAAGTGCTCCAGAACTGTTGACTCCAACAGAGCTACCACTGTGCTTAAATCGAACCACACATTTAAGTGTTTTCCTGGATCAAGGCCATCACCACACTGACATCAGCCAGAACAAAACAGCACCTGAGATTCAGCAACATAAATACATAGCAACCCCAACCAAACCCAGTGCTGTAACCTCCAGGTTACCTTTCCTCAGTGCTTTCTGTCATTGCTAACTCTGTTAAGGCTACATTTAAAATCTCTTCTGCAAGCATGCACTGGAAGTACTGCTTAGGAACAACCCTGCTTAAGCCAAGGCTTTCTTATGGTTTTAGAATTTGCCTGGCCTGTTTTGCTAGATCAGGATCTTGGACAATACGGTCCCCAGGGCAAAAAGCATGTTTATTTTTCTGCTTGAATCATATGTGCTCATATAGCACAAAATAGCAATTAGTAATTTTCTGTTCAGAAAAGGTACAAGGAAGATTCTCTACATACCACAGATGTCCTGACTTGTGCAGTTGTAAGTGAAAAATTATGATAGATCAAAATTTCAAAAGTCCAAGTTATTAACCTTAGCACTGGCACTTTACTGTAACCATAAATATGCAAAAAGACTAAAGTAATCCCTCCCCTCCTGAATTCTGCTCCCTCCCTTTCTTTTGCTAACCTTCTGCCTCCATTACTTTTTCTCTTTTATTCTCTCTTGATTACTTCACTGGTTTACACTTCAGCTTATAAATCCCATATGCTTGGAGCCTTGTCCTTTGTTAATCATAAAATAAGATTATGTGCACCTTGGGTATGTACAAATTATTACTGTCTTCCTGCAAATGTCTTCCACATGGCCCCACCCTCAGTTCCAGCTGAGAACTAAGCTGCTGTTGTGAACAGGCTCAAAGAATAAATATTTTGCATTCATTTCACTAGCACAATGGAAACATTTTTCCAGGCTGCTGCCAAGATGGTATCTAGTCCTCCTCTGACTCAGCAGCCCATGCAGCTGACTTTCAAATGACTTGCTTGATTGTAATCTTAAAAGAAAAAAAAACAAAAAACAAACCACAACAACCAGGTGCATTTTTAAAGAGCTGTATTGCTCTCCTCTTGTACAAGCAGGTAGTGACACTATAAAATGTGAAAGCTGAGAGAAAGAAGCCAAACAGAATTGAGCCCTTTTTGGGATGTCCCCTTTATTTCTTCCAACTTTACGGGTTTATTTCACCCAGTCAGAGAAAGGGATTGGGGAATGTTGTGAGGAAGTGAGAAAGGAATATGACTGCTTTATGCAGAAAATTTCCTCCTGGCATCAACCAGCCTTTTACATTCTTTAAAGCTCTGTTGGCCATTAAAGACAGTGTATCTAAAAATAAAATACAGACAAAGCTGGGTTAAGAGAGATGAAGATGGCTAGGAATTTTAGGAGTTCTCTTCCATTAGCATTTTTTCCTTATTCTTAGGTCACTTTCCCTCTAGTCCAATCCAGAAGCAGGAAAGGTGCAACGAGACAGGTTCAAAGCTGTTTATCTCTCCTCCATTCTCATGGGAAAACTTTGGTCTATAATCCCTACTGCTCTGTGAATAGACAGTCCTGATGGTGAATAATTTTAGTGTTCCAAAATTGTCCAGATACATCTGGTAAGAAACTGTCAGCAACCCTGCATGAAACTGCAGATTTATATTAAATCACAGAGTAGGCATCCAGCTTCTAATCACTGATGGAGGTTACTTCTACCAGAAGTTCTGATCTTCTAAACAGAATAAGAAGATGCTTATTAAATTAACAAGTCTAAAATTCAAAATAAACTGTGCCATGAGAAATCAGTTCAATGGGTAAAATGAGGCTGTCCCTCCACCACCCTCTTACATCATGGTACTTAACCAAAAGATATCTATTTATATAGACACACGAGGCCAGATCCTTAGGTTTAGTCTTTTTATACCATGCATAGTGCAGGATTTAGGGTGATAAAAGTAATTTAGGTTTAAGCTACTAACTCTGTCTTCAGGGTGCTGGGGTCATGATTTTGGTACCAATGAGTATCTTAAAAAAGCCCCAGAGATGCTCTAGTTTTAATTGCCTTAGCTACTTATAGCCTTATGAGAGTTGTCAAAGCAGCTGGGAATTGATTGGACTCAGCATTCCTGCTATTCATCCTTTCCACCTCGCCTTCCTCCTTTTGATCTAGGACTAGGAGGAACAGGAATTGTAGGATTTCATGTCATTAAAATAAATTCTCCACTGAGTGAATGCATAGATAGTTGATTAAATTATTTCTGTAGCTGCAGAAAAAGCCACAACTTGACACAGACACACATTTCCTTAGGGCAGAAAAAAATCATCTTTATGCAATAAAATTTCCCTGCATTGTAAGATTGATTGCATGAATCTGAACACTGCAACCAGAATACAAATATATGAGGACACCAGTGTTTCAGGAAGTTGTAGCTGAACATTTTTTTCTTTTAAAACAAGTAAGTAGCTTTTAAAAAAAAAAACAACCCAATGAATGAACCAGTATGAAAGGGATACCAAGAAGCTTTTTGCATATTCTAAATACTAAAATGGGAGAAAAACACCAAATGGGATACAAAAGATACGACTAATAGGGAGAAAGTGAAGCGAGGAAACAGAATATTAATCAAATGGGAGCTGGGATTAAAAAGTAGTGTGATATAGCTGAAATTTTCTATTTCTATAAAGTTCAGAATAATTTATTCTTTATTTATTTTATATTTATATTTATATTTAAATAAAAATATTTATTTTATATTTCTTTATTTAGTAGTATTATAATTATTATTATTATTAGCCATTCCCACTAAGTCTCACTATAGACATTCCGACCATATTAAATAATTCTCCTATAAACTTATATTCAGTTCAGTGGAAGCACCATCATGCTCTGTCAAAGAAGACTGAAATCAGATTGGGTGGGCTCCAAACATTTTCTCATCAGTATTTTCATAATTGTTGTAGGGTTCATCACAGAGTGATTCCTTTACTAGGTTTGCTAATTTTAACTAATTAGTTATGTGCCCACTATTGGAAAAATATTTTAAATTTAAACACATTTTCACATGGATAGCAACAGGTCCCACAGGGGAAAAGGATTAAACAAGGATAGCTTGTTACAGCCCTTGGGATCTCTTAGGAACACAATCACCTCCTAAGAGTGCTGCTATTAAGGCACTTAAAAGGAGCCTGGACTCACCAGGCTGTAAATGACAGCCTTTGGGGCTCTAATTTTGGTCATCAGTTTACTGTGGTGTAAATCACAACTGAATCACAGTAATGTCTTGGCACCTTGGCACTCTCATACACTGCCTTAAACCACACAAATACTGAAATAAGGAGATCTGGTATATTGGAAAGCTGGGTTTGTTTTTTTTTTTTTTTTTTTTTAAGACAAGCTCTCAGAATCAAAGAACACTTTTGTGTTCTCTTCATCAGATTTCAATCTCTTTACTCACCCAGCAGATTACAGAGCTCTGATAGGTGGTATGGCTTTTTGGAGAGAGCCAAACCAAAGGACCTGCTGCACACATCCTGGTTCCCAGGCTCCTTGCCAGCACAGGGTGTGATGTAACAGCCTCTCTCTCACGTTGAACAAGTTAACAGCCCCGTTGTGGAGTTTACTACATTTTGGCTAAGAAGCAGCATGAATAGCTTTGCAGGGAAGTGCTACTGTTTAACAAGTGAGTAGCTGCAGGAACAATCTGGTTTCTCCCTTTTATCCAGGACTGCAAGAGAGTCCCAGCTGTACATTACATCTCTCCTCTCCCATACACTGGAGCAGCAAGGACTGTGCAAGATGAATAGAGACCAGACTCCCTTCTGTGTGCTCTGTCTGCAGTTTAACCCACTCACACTGGCAAAGAGTAAGTCTCTGACGACCTTCTGGCTGACTTTTCCTCTTGTTAAGAACGTTCTGGGAAATTACTTGGCATGGCAGTCATTTGGAGGAGGTAGCTCACTACACAATCGTATGGAAAGGACCATTTGTAGGCATGTTCTGACTTTGCCACTTCTTGTGAGCAGAGGAAACCCCAGCCTTGTTTTCCACCAAAAGAGACCTCAAAGGCAACTCTCCAGTCTGGAGCAAGCACCCTCTGGCCTGGGCTCCTCTCATGCTGGGAAAGGGGAAACCAGGAGACGAGGTATCACAGAAATGCTTGTGCTTGCAGGGAGTAGTGCTATTTTCACAGTGTCTTATGTGTCAGGGGAATAAAAAAGGATGAAAAAAAAAGGATGAAAGAAAAGGATACAACCACATAATGCCCAATGTACCACATTCCACTTCAAAATACGGACAAGGCGGAAACAGGGCAAACAGGTTCGTTACTGAATTTGCAACCTCTCTGCATTCCTTCCATGGTTTGTAATGTCACACTAGAGAAGAGTTATCGTTTACCACTTACTGCCTGAAGGTTACACCATCCAAACAGCACAAGGCCAAAGTACACAGTCGTGAACTGCATTGTGAAAAATCAAATTGCTCCTTTGCTGTTTAACGCAGCGTGCAGTAATCTTTGGGCACAGCTTTGATCTCTTATCAGTTGAATTTCTCATTATAACCTTCTAACTCAGCCACTAGGAACACCTACACATGCAGGGGAGAGCCTGGCAGAGCCACTGCAGTGGTGTGTGACAGCCCCAGCACTTCCAGCTTTGGGCATCTGAGGAGTGCCTGGATCAGAAATGCAGCACCTGGAGTCAATCCCTCCTTCACAGCCAGCCCCAGAGGCTCCTCAGCCCCCTGGGGATCTGATTCATCCCCTGCAAATGCCTCTCTGGGGGAACGAAGAGACAACTGGAGTTACTGTACTCCCAGCTTAAGCAGCTCAGAACGGTTTCTAAAGTTAGGTGGGATAAATGCAGACCTTGGTGATTACCACAGACACCCATTTAGCATGAGGTTAATTGCTTAGCTTTGTGTACTGTGGTGAGATGGTACTTGCTGAAGGAGGATCTCCCTCTCTCAGGAACGGTCTCCCACTATTTATTCCCCTTCCCAGAATCAAAGGCTTGAAAATCACATGAAAATACCCACTGTTGGAAGTGCTACTAAATTATGAAAGGGTTTGGTTACATCTGCTGGGAAATAAGTATTTTTATTCCTCCCTCCATGTCTTCTCTCTAACTGAACAGATTTAACTGTTTTGCACCCGAATCTCAGACAGGTGGAAAACAACTTCAGAACCAGTTTCAAGCGCCATTAATTATAAAAATAGACTAAGATTACTTCCAAGTCCTGTTACTGTATATCTTCCTATAGTTATCTGTTCTTCTGGTTTGTTTTTTTTTAATATTTCCAAGGGTTCCCCTTTCCTACTGCACTATATAGAGCAATCATGAATCATTTATAATAGTTCTGGGGTCTCACACATTATCATTATCAGTTAAGCAATGTAATAAATAAATGAGATTTAAGTTGACAGAGCCCTGTAGATAAGAGTCAGCTTCTCATTTCAGATGTCAACATAGATGCTTCCATATCATTGAATTGATCACCTAACAGCATGGCCACTGTGAAAGCCTTTATCATAAAATTTATAGTGTGTTTTTAAAATAACTGAAATTGTTGTGCCAGCAAATAGTGATCTAAGTTAAGAAGAAATTGAATTTGCCTCTTACAGATTTGTTTATGGTATGTGATTGTGAAATGATGTATTTATTAACACACAGCTCAGAATAAATGAAATATCTGAAATACAGTACTCAAGTGAAGAATGTTTGTCTACTGCTGTTGTATTTGCACAGGAATGTTGGGTCAATAATTTGCAGGGATCAAAATACACGACAGTGTTGAGAGAACAGAATCAGCTTCAGATTCATGTCCTTCTGCAGGAACTCAGCCTTTCTCTCTAACAACTTCTCCTTCTAGAAGAGAGTGGCAAATCTTATCTCTCTTTCCAGTCTCTGTTGAAAATTAAACATCCACAGCTTTGTTCCTCACTGATCTGTGGCTGCTGACATTTATTGCCAAGTAAAGCAACACCTGAATGATTCACTGGCAGCCCTGCACACTCACTGCTCTCAGACATAAATGAGTACAGAGGCTACCAGACAATCAGGTGCCACACATCCCACACATTTCTGTATCTTCTGAACAGGAGAGCATTGAGTCCAGCATTCTGAAATCCCCCCAGACTTTCTCTTGTACATATATACAACCACAACTGTTCATAAAAACCTGCTGAGAATTCTGTTTCTTTATTCTGGCATCTTCTACTCAACTTCATGTTGTCTGAATCAGCAAATAATCAAAAACAAAACAAACTTTTCAGTCTTTCAGTCAGTGGAATGTGCTAAGATTATGCTGTTTCCTCACTTCTATTCTAACAGGTACAAAAGACTCTTCTGTAGCTGCATAACACAGATGAACACATTCATATGCAAATAATATGACTGATTGACTAAAACCTACCCAAAGTATTTTTGCATCCTACAAACCTTTGGGTTTAATAATTTCTGCACCCCAAGAATATACTGACACGGAAAGGCAGTGAGCTGGATACAGAAAAATTACACTGAAAAGAACTCTGGAGTTCCCTAACTATAATGTAGGACTTATTTTATTTAATACTTTAATAATTTCATTTTGCATAGCAGAAGAAAAAGTCTTTAATTTGTAGGGAGAGTTTGGCTACCTTGATCTAAAAAAACAAAGGCTGGCTACTGGTACAACAGGATGAAGCAAACAATGAATGAAAACAGCCTTTAATTATAACAGCAAATAGTTATAACCTGTCCATGAAAAAAATATGTTAAAAATCAGAGACTTCCTAACTTTTACAGAAGGGGCCCCCAGAATAGTGTGTGTGAATGACTTGAAAGTAGCAGATGAACTCTGATCCAGGACCCAAATGCTTTCAGCATCACAACAGCTACTGCTACTGGAGGTACCTCACACAAAGGCAAAAAGGCTTTGGGACTGCTGTGTTACTGTGTTCCGATCCTGGAACAGCTTTCCCATGGGTGAGTGGGAGGAAACTTCCTGCTTTTAAATAAATTACTGAGAGCTGGAATGAAACAGAACTCATAGCTGTTCAACAGAGCAACTGACCCCATGAACCTGTATGCCCTTTAGAGTTCTAGATTTTTAGATACAAAAAATGTTGAAGATTTTATATTTTGTAGGGGAAGAAAAGCTGGACAAGACAGATGCAGGGTGACAGATCACAGTCTGCTGGTTCCATGAGTCAGAGGAATGGAAAAATACAGGTAATGTGAAGGAATTAACACAAAAGGAAAAGGGGGGGGAAAAAGGCAGAGGAGAAAGAAAAAGAAAGTGATGCATCTGAGGCTCAGGCTGGCCAAGGGAGAGGGGAGAAGGCGCAGAGCTATGCAGTACTGGAGAGTATCAGATGCTGGAATTCATGTGTTCCCAGGGACTGCTGAGTTCATGCATTACCAGAAACAGAAGAAACCACTCTTATGAAGACACCTTTGCTGTGTGGGAGGCTAGATAAATGCCCTGGTAGTGCTGCCCTTCTTTTTCTACTCTAGGAGCTGGGGCAGGAGGTGTGATAGCAACTTGTGCTATTAGTCACCAGCAGTCCCAGTCATCTCAGACTCCAGAGGCATCAGGAACTCGGAATCCCTGCAGCTCAGACTGTGAATTTCTTTTTTATGTGCTCTCTTTGTCTGCTAACTCTTTCATCAGCTCTTCTTAAGGGAGATAAAAGAAAATCCTAAATAAATTTTTATCCATCTCTGGGGTGGCATCTCAGCAGTGTATCCCAGGATCTGAAGCCATTGCAAAACTCACTTTGAAAGCAGTGCAGAGATTAGTTACTATTTGGGTAAATCAGAAGGGAGTCACCACCTTTGGATTCCCAGTGTCCTCTCAGCCAAATTCTGAAGCAAACTGAAGGAAAAGGCCGGGTTCTCATTCTGTCCCACAGTATGGACACACACACACTGCAGCCCATCAGCTGTAACACAGGACACAGTCCACACACAACCCTGTACATTTCCCAGTGGAAAACTGGACACAAATTTTACTTACTGGTTTTGAGGTAGCACAGGGAGCTGGTGTCATGATGGGAGGCTTGGCTGCACTTTGAGATGGAGGCAGAGAAAATCTCTGCCCTGTGTCCGGAGGCGAGGAACAGTGAATCCGTGTTTCTAGTCTCTCAGGCTCATGCTTATAGGATTCAAGAGGAAACGTGGGCTGCTTGGTCACTTGTGTTGGGGTAGATGGAGAAGAGGAGAGGCTAGAGGCTGTGAACAACAATAATGACCAAAGATCAGTTCAGGTGAAAAGCAGACAGAGATCTCAGCTTTACAGAAATCCTGTACTTTTTCATCACATTGCCCCAAACTAAAAGTAGGCATCTCACCTCCTTGTTTATGAAAGGGAATCTGTGCCTTGCCATTAAAACTCTTAAGTTGGTTGAACTGTCTGATCCACTACAGGAAGGCACAGTGGCAGGATGGGAGTGTTGGAGGTTTGTGTTGTATTAACCTCCTGTCTGATTGCTTATTTCTAAAATGACACTCAGTATGGGTATTACTTTATTGTTGTCATTTTAATACTCCTATGAGTCTCAGGATTAACTTTATCTCATGGCACATGGCTCAAAATCTTTAATGGTTGCTTTTTCTCCTTTTTCATTATTTTAACAGTATTTCAGTCATCAGTTAAAATACAATTAGGAGCAAACACAAAAAGGAACAAGGTGTATTTCTCCTGAGCCTCAGTTTGCTTTCTGTAAAGCTCTTGTACAGCATTATTACAAACCTAAATTGTTTTCAGCTGCCTTTGAGGAGAAAGATTGATCTTATCTTTTGCCAAAAATCAGTGTCAGCAGCAGATAATTTCTCTTGTGAGCACCCTGTTTTTATTTGACATGTGTATGTACCCCAGCTGTATTTTTGGTTACATTCCTAGGGCAGCTCTGAATTGTGAACAAACAGATTTAAACTGTGTTTATTATCCATTTAAGAACCAGCAGACATCCACCACTAGTCAGAAAATTCAAGTTCCAACATCTGTGTTTCTGGTTACATGTACATCAGCAAACCAAGGGTGCTTCTCTGATGCCAGCATAAATCAGGACAGACTTAGGTGCATAAAAACCTAGAGGCTGAACCAGGATCTGTATTTTTAAGTGTGCTGTAAGACCTCTGAATTTGGCTCATTTCTTGTGCTTCCATAGACTTGTGTAGATGATTAATTAGTCCAAAGGGGACTCAAGCCCATCAAAAGAGAGCAGATTAATGAGCATAAAATCCCAGGTGTGTCAAAAATCAGAGAACTGTTTGAGAACGCATTGTTGCATTTTCATGGTAAACTTTCAGGGCTCCACCAGAGATTTTCGCACCAGAGGTTTCTTCCTAAATTCCTAGACTTGGAACACTGGACTTCCAACAACTCAGGGAGGGATCTGTTTCTTGGAGAAACTATTACTCCTGACATATCTGGGGAAGAGTTAGCATATTCTGTGTTTAAAGGAATTAACATATAATATGGGTAACTGTTCTTTCCCTATTATTCTTCTTTGAAAACAACTTTTCTTGATGGCTTTTACATAATAAGAGACTTAACTTTATAATAATAGAGTCACTCAACATGAAATCTGCAAAATAATTAGGCTCTAATATGTTTTATTAATAGTGGGTTTAGTGGTACAGAGCACTGTACCACTTTCAAAGAAAATCTTAATTCTCACTGATAAATTTTAGCTTTGATGGAATCAAAAAGGACCCCCTACTCAGTGCCTATCTTTGGTCCTTTTCCAAACTTGCAGATACACTTCCATTTAATTTGATTTTTAAAGAGCCCTGTAGCTCTGCCAGTCGAGCAGCAATGCCACAGGCCCAGAGGACACTGGGGTTGGGGGCAGGTGCAGATGTTGGCTGATATGACACAGAGTGAGGCAAGAGTAATAACCACCCTGGCATTTTGAATGTCCTCAAACCCTACTCATTTCAGGGGGACTGGAGAGGTGTGTTCCTTAAGGACTGAAAGGACACCTAACTTGCCTGTTCAGTTTTTGCTCACTGACAAATTTAAATAAGCTGCTCTGAGGAAGATGTTCCTCTGCGTTTTTTATGGAATAAATGTTCCCTGAGTGCTCAAACTGGGAGTTGAGATAGCTATAATCAATGCAAATGGAAAACCACTAAAAGGGAGAAAACCACCATTAGATCTTAAATGCTTGCTGCTGGGATGTGTTCATTGTGTGCTAATGTATTCAGCAAGTCCACCAGAACCATTTCCAGTGCTGAGAGGCTCTGCCAGAAGAGCTTTTACCAGTCATAAACAGAAATACAGAAACTCAGCATCCGAGCAAGGCTGGCCTGCCAAGTGCAGAGGACATCTGTAGGACACAGGGACATGTGGATCAAAGGGGACCATGGAAGTCACATCTCTCACATCCTATGTAAACTACTGTCACCTCATCACAGACATGAACAGCCCAGGCAGGACAGACAGAGTGGTTTCCATCTTATAAGAATGTTCACTGGTGGTGAATCTCCTTTTGGATGCCAGCCTTGGACACTTGGCCTGAGTTTTTATGGATGAAGAGCATCTGTGACTCCAGCAAACTGAGTCTTAGAACTGTTTGTTTCAACCAGGCACTTCAAACATAAAGTACTCACTGTGAGGCACACCCTAATACATCTGAGATTCAATTTGTCTGTGACTCAGTTTCTGCACAGAGTTGAAGGGAAAAATATAATTATTTTGCAGGCTACTGATAAAGTTAAGGTAATTAAGCTTTTCAATCTTTCAGAAGCCTACCTCATAGCATTTCTGTGGTATGTATGTTATTTACATTTGTACAATACTGAGACTAAAGTCATAATCACATAGGAAATGCTAAATTTTTAATGAATATTACAAGAAAATACTTTTGGCTGCTGTGATACAGCCTAGCACCCTAAACCCTATGAAGTTTTTTATAAAAGCCTTCCACATCAAAGAATGAAAATCTATAATATATCTCCAGAGCAAAGTTCAGGACTTTGTATTAACTTTAGTCCTATTGGACTGTCAACTAAACAGCAGCGCTGGTGCAAATGTGTTGTTATCTGTACATGCAGTGGGGGCCCTGCTCTACTACAGCAGAAGGAATCCAGTGAAGAGACAAGATACAGCTCTGTCCCATGGCTAAAACCAGTTTATTTGGGAGAATGTACTTCAAACAAATGAGCAGGGAAAACCAGACAACAATTCAGGATTCTTTTATAATGAAGCTGCAACAATTCAGTAGGACTCATGTATGTAGAATTTGGGTGAAGAAACAAACTTGACATTGGCTACAAACCCTACTAGTTCTGGTAACAGTATGAACAAAATGTGGTGTTTTCATGTTATGAAACTAAATAGCTGTCCCTTTTTTTACAGCACAAAAGAATTTTAGAAAAAAAATTAAAAGAGAGAAAAAGGTCTAGCAGATAAGTTGCTGTGTCTCTGGCTAACAAAAGGGATTATCCTTTAGAGTTGGAACTGAGTAAGGTCTCTTCCAACCCAAAACATTTGATGATTCAATGATTCTATATTTCCTATGGATCAACCCTATCCATTCTGAAACAATCCAAGTTTTGCTTTGTTCTAATTCATTCTCACATTACCTTTCTTGGGACAAAACAAGAACAAATAAAGAGGATAACTTTGTGGTCTCCACATTGATGACTTGTAAGTACTAACATTTGCATAACTGATTATGCATATGAATTATAATGAGATTCATATGAATATGTGGTTCAAAACAACTTTCATATTACAGCTTTGCATGGAATGTGTATGTGAGATCCTAACAGAACTAGATAGCACTAGACTTCGAGCAGAATGGGGCTGTCTGCAGCTGCTTCCCCTTGTGACAGGGACAGCACATATGGATGGCTCAGCACTCAGTTCTGTGCCCCTAATTGAGCAACTTCAGATGGGATTGAGCCACACATCATGGGATGGATGTAAAAGTCCCAAAGAAGCTGGAATTGCAGTGCCCACACCTGTGGCTCAAGTCACACCCAGCACCAGCTGGTTTTGAGCTGGGCACAGACATACAAAACCAATGTTGCTCCTTTCACTTGTTTCTCTCGGTATTTACAACAATTTCTCCTAAATAAAGCCCTTATTTTGCACAGCATTAAGTTTTTCACCCATGTGAACATGGACATTCTGATCCAAACCAGCCCTTCACTGATACATAACAGGAAAGGATGAAGTGCTGCGTTGTCATCTGCGTACTCCCAAGGGAAAAAAGGGTGGATGCCCTCCTTCATTTCCTACATTCCCAGGGTGACACCCACAATGAGTTCTGTCACCTACATTTCATGCCTGACCTGGCAGGATGCATCTGGTGGTTTCTGAGAGGAAGGATGCTCATAACCCAGTGATTCCTGCCAAAGCCTCTCTTTTCATCAACCCTTTTCCAGAAAGAAAAACAGCTGCTGTCCCCATGAACCTTTGGAGCCACCCACCCCCATAGGATGCTGGAAGGGATTTCAGGGATGTGTTAACACTCCTTTACAGAGGTTTGGCTTCAGGGGGACAGTAATAGATAGAGTCATACTCCCCATTGAGGGCCCTAAGGATGGAGCCAGCAGCCTGCCCTCAAATTTTTATTTTTACCTTTGTGTGCTTAAATTGCTGAAACTGGAGTGAGTTACTGGCCATGAAAATGAAATCACTCTTCGCACTTTCCCTACAAAATCACACTTCAGTGTTCTCTCATCCTGTACCTGATCAAGCAAATAATAACATTGCTAATACATAAAGCTGTGGCTAAAACAGTTTTCTGAGGTCATCTATAGGGACATATTCATTTACCATTTAGAGTGAAACTTCTCAGCAAAAAACCAAAACAAAATAGAACAAAACAAAAACCAAAACCCCAAATCCCTCATCTCCTCAAAAAAACCCAAAAGACCAAAAGAAATTCCATTTGCAGTGTCTCCATGTGACACTTTTTCTTGACTCTTTCCCAGGACAACACTGTCCTTTCATTTGCATTCTCAGCTGGCAGTGAAACAGAGAAGGCGGCAGGCTGTGGCTGCTGAATTTTAAGTACCCTGCAGCACAAGTGAATCTGAGTTGAGCTGCTGGTTCATTAAGCTGATTCACTCTTCAGACACAATTCTATGTTAATTCTGACACATAAGCAAATCAATGCAAATTATGTGAAATGAGGTTTAATGCCACTTAATGGCAGTAAAGCTCTGAACCTATCAGCAGGTAAATGGCCACTGCCTGTTTCCATCCAAACAGT